GGAGTGTGGTGGAGTCTCCTTCCTTTGAGGTCTTTAAGCAGAGGCTGGTTGGGCATCTGTTGGGGATGCTTTGATTTTGAGTTCCTGCATGGCAGGGGGTTGGACTGGATGGCCCTTGTGGTCTCTTCCCACTCTATGATTCTATGATTCTATGATTCTATCTGCCAATTCAGAGACACAGCTGTGTTAGTCTGGGGAATTGGTGTGCAAAGGGATCCTGTAGCACCTTTGAAACTAAAGTCTGATCAGCACTGCAGAAATAATGCACTTTGACACCATTTTAACTGTCGTGGCTCAATGCTATGGAATTCTGGAATTCTTATATTTTTGTGAGCTATTTAGCCTTCTCTATCAGAGAGCTCTGAGGACTCAACAAACTACAAATCCCAATATTCCATAGGATGGAGCCTTGGCAGTCAAAATGTTGTCAAACTGGATTACTTCTGCAGTGCAGATCAGCCCTAACTGAACGAAAGAAGCTGGTAGCATGAGCTTTCATAGGCTTGAGTTTACTTCCTTAGATGCATGGGGTGGAATAGAGGGTCCAGGGATAGACTTGTATAAGCAGGCTCTGTGTGAGAGAATGACAACAGAAATGCCAAACTTTGTGGGTATGGAAATGCGGTGACAAGCTCAGCTTTAACCTTGGAGTTTATCACATGGACTTTTCAGCCCGATCCATGCATGGGATGGGATTAGGCTAAAAGTTCATGTGATAACTCCCTTGTTTCTATATCCACACTCCATGCCAATGGAATGTTTTGCCAATGGAATGTAAATTTTCTTTACTTAGTACCCACATGGTTTAGGACAGGCATGGTATAGTCGTTTGAGTGCTGGGATACAACTCTGGAGACCAGAGTTTGATTCCCAATTCAGCCATGAAGCCCACTATCCATGTTGGGCAAGTCACATGCTCTCAGCCTCAGAAGAAGGCAATGGCAAACCTTCTCTGAACAAATCTCACCAAGAATATCCCATGATAGGTTGTCCTTAGGGTTACCATAAGTCAGAAACAACTTGAAGGTACACAACAACAACCCACATGATCAGGAGGAGGGTCCTGCCTGCATGAATATCCCTCCATATCACCTAAACTGAGAACAACTACATCTTGACAAAATGCATGCCTTTGACCAACATCATCATAATATCCCCCCGGTATGTTTTTTGAACACCTTTGCCTGATGGAAAAAACAGTGGAGCTTTGAAGGCTTGCAAAATGTATCTTCTGCATTTTGGTTGTTCCAATAAAGGTATCATTGTTTTGTAGATTTTGGATGTTATTGTACTTTGCTACATGGTCAACACAGCTACCTGTGGATATGAAGATCAGGCAAGTTATTTCAGCAGCTGATGGGAAAATCCAAGTACTGCTATCTATCCTTGGCTGTAAAAATAGCGTGATAAAGAACAATTTGCTTCCGTTTTGCAATGCTCAAAATCAGCTATATGAGGTGATCTGGCTCTCTCTGAGTCATGCTCAGGGCTGGCCATGTGACAGGACAATAGCAAGTCTGAAAACAATTGCAACAGAAAAATATTTCATGCACCATAAACAGCAATCATTGACCACTCTTCCAGCATGGTGTCCAAGTGCTGTAGTAGTGAAATCGGGCTCACAGAGTCAAAAGCAATAAAACTTTGGTATCAATAGAGTCTCACATGGCACTAGTCAACCCCCTCAGGCTTCTGTGTTCCTCTGAATTGAAGTGTAAACCTCTGCCTAACAAAGGGGTTTGTTATCTCACAAGGGAGAAAGACATCCTGGATCTCAGAGGGAGTAACTTTTCTGTTCCAAATGGAATTTAAATTTTATCTCCTGGACTTTGGAATGTTTTGTTCCCAGTGCCACATAGCCAGAAGTCTGTCTGCATATCATCTCATATCATCTCAACCCAGAACAACACTAACCATCTTTTGACAAAATGCAGGCCTTTGACTAACATAATTTTCC